AGAGACTGGGGCTGCTTGCTTGTCTCCTCTGCACCCTCGCAGCCTCTCCACAGGCAAAATTCTGCTCAAGCTGGTCACCCTCAAAGTGACCTGTGGCAAACCCATCACCAGGTTTTGCAGCAAAACTCACCACATCTACCAAAGCCTGCAAAAGAAGTGCATTTTCAAGGAAAAAGAGGCATAAGCAAGACAAGCAGAGTAATTCTGAAAGATTCAGTTAAACCTACTCAAGCACGATGCTTTAAATCAGAAAGATTAAGTGGGGTGAAACTTACTCAAGACGCCAAAGAAGAGAAGCAAAGAGCAGTCGTCTGAGGCTAGCTGCGCTGCGAGCCCTTTTTATACCGTTTCTTGGGCTGCCCGATGGTCTATGACACCTCGTGAGCAAGATCTTAATTAGCTCCCAAACACACAGATTACACATCACGCCTCAATTCCTCATTCATGCAAACAGTTTCCTCACTGTCAAGTATTACTCGGTCTAGGTTTCCCTCAGTGTCTCCCGAGTTCTTCCTTCTTAGAAATCACCCAGCTGACTTCCCTAGGCTTACATTATGTCTATTTATTATTTTATTCTTACAGATACTCAAGCTTCTATTTCCAAAGTTGTTCTCATAGTCCACGCTCATTACAGTGTTCAAACTCCAGATACATAGTTACGTTCCTGGGGACTAGTATTAAATTTTCTCTACATTTAGCCGTGGTCCCTGGGGTCTGCTCTTGCAGTAAGGTCTCTCCCTGGGCATAAAAAGAAGCACACAGGGCTAGACCCCAACCTTGGGTGTCCACTAACACAAGATAAAGCACCCCGCTCCCCTGTATGGCTTTAAAGGATTGTCTTGCCCTATTCTATTCACATCCAAGTGAAAAAAACCCTCACTATTTTAATAGTTATTGAAGGATTTTCCTCGCATCAGACACAGAGTCATAATATCACTGCAGCCAGAAGGATGTCAGCCCATGCTAGCCCGCACAGACTGGGGCCATGGTGCGAAGACTTCAGAGGGGCACGGGAGGGAATGTGTTATTGTGGTTTACTGTTCAGAGATAAAAGAAAATAGAGCGGATCTGCAAGAGTCCATGGAGCAAATCACCTCTGTGCTTTAGACTGCTGTATCGGACCTGCGGTGTGCAGCTGGGACAAGGAACGCGGCAGACGGAGTCAATCTCCCATCTTTATTCGAAGTATAAGCACTGCAGTGCTTCAGCTCAAAATCAGGAGGAGTTTAGAGAAGAAAATCGGCCCACGGTGCACTGAAATACTTGTGACACCGAGGAGTGTTTGAAAAATGCTGGCCATGGGGAGCAATTGCATAAATAAGGCAGTTTTCCAACATTTTGTCACATTGGTGAAATCAGCAAAATGCTGCAGGAAGTGAAACTGCTGCAAAAAGTTTAAGGAAGAAAGAAGAGGGTGTTGGAAGAAACTGATGATTGTCCAAAGATGAATTAAACAGTCATAGAGGTCTCAGCAGTGATGCACATTGTTGTGTTTTGTAACTCAATAAACCTGAACCATAAAGGATGTCGCAATCCCCGCAGGCAGCCCAGGAGATGGTATAAAAGGGCTTCTGGCTCAGAAGCCCTCAGATCACAGCTCCTCGCTTCTCCTCTGCATTGATCCGAGTAAGTCTGATCACTTCATAATCTTTTTTATTTTCAGGTACTGTGGGTTTGTGCTATTTTTTAACCAACTCCTGCACATGCAATCTGAACCGGAAGGGAGGCAGGGAAGGGGGAAGAAAGAGAGAAAAAAGCACCCGAGCCTTAGCAGAGCAACTCCATACGGCACATCCTGGGCCCTCCCTGCCGCTGGCGAGGCAGAGCAGGGTGGTCTGCGTGACGACTCATGGGCGGTGGGTTGACTCCAGCTCCTCGGTGTGTTGCAGGTTCACCTCCCTGCCCGCAGGATGTCCTTCTCCAGCCAGCAGCTCAGCTCCCGCTGCTTCCCACCCTGTGAGGTGGCCTGACCGCAGCCCGTGGCCGACGCCTGGAACGAGCCCTGCGTCACCTCCTGCGGGGACTCGTGTGCCGTGGTCTACCCACCACCTGTGGTCATCACCTTCCCGGGCCCCATCCTCAGCTCCTGCCCTCAGGAGAGCTTTGTGGGCTCCTCAGCCCCAGTGGGGCTGGGTCACCCCAGGGGCCTGCAGGGCTCTCTTGTCTATGGGGGCTACTTGTCTTCTTCCTCCTCATCCAGCAAGCTCTGGAGCCAGCGCTATGGGGGCTGTGGGCCATGCTAAGCATGGCAGAAGGCATGGACAGCAGGAGAAACAGCGGGACAACTGACGGCAAGACCCGGACGTGCAGCTGAGCTGAGGAGAACAGTTCTCTGAAGCAACGGGAATCTATGGGTGCTGCTCAGCACCTATGGGAACTGCTCTTCCACTTATCCATCTCATGCTCTATTTGCTTTCAATGTCAGCTTTCTCAAAATGTGGATTATGCAAAATCTGTTTCTCACTGTTAAAGAATTAAAGCACTAGTATCACTGAAAACTTGTATGTTTTTAATTGTTTGGGGTCCTGCACTGTTTTCTTCTTCTTTCCATATGTCTAATGGGAAAGATTCATAGATGTCACCTGGCACTGTGACTTGTTCAGTCCATTTGAAATTTGAACCAAGAAAGAAGAACAATGTGCTGAAAATAAATTGGCTGGATGCAGACTAAGAAGTTGGTCCTTTTGTTAAACACTGAAGTCCATCTTGTATTTTTCCTTTGCTTAAAATGTATGCTTTTTGCTCCCAATAAACACTTCTGATTGCATTGAAATCATATTCATCTGTTTGCTTTCTTCTCTGATTTGGGGTAATGCAACATCTGCAATCCGATGGAATCAAACCATCCGCTTATCTTGGAGATCTGTAGAGGAACGTCCTGCTCTTACAGACAGTGTTTATGTCATGCCTATGGATTCATTCATCAGGAGACTCTGCTTACAACTTGCAGAGCTTGCCTGTGTGCCTGATGTAATCTCTAACAGGAATCAGGTGTCAGAGAACTGCCCAACCCTCAGATCAAAGCTTCAAGACCAGTATGAAGTACTAAATGGCCACTTCAAAATTATTCTAAAACCTCATCCCTACTTCTCCTTCCTTTCCAAGTGTTTTTATTAGAGCTGTTGTAATGCCATATAACATAAATAATAAAAAAGGAAATGTTAGATTGTGCTATAATTCTGTGTAACATGAAGAAATAAAGAGAGAATATTAGACAGTGCAGAGCAGCAGAAGGAACTTCCCAGAGACATCCAGAGACAGAAAATTAGCTAGTAATGAAACGCCAGTCTGAGACGCAGGAGACTTGAATCCACTTCCCTACTCTGTACTTTCATATCTATCTTTCTGAGATCATAATACTGCCTCAGCGGGGATCATAAGTGCCCAAGAGCTGATATCTTTTGCTACCTTCACTCCTTCTTACTGTGCAAAGTAAAGGAGCCTCCTGGCAGAATCCTAAGAAACACAGGACCAGAAATTGGACCCTAAAGAAGGTCAGCAGAGCCTCATTTCAAAGAGCAATTTAGATAACCAGAAGACTGCAATAGAGGAAATCAGACCTAGAGAGTTCTCAGAAAATAGAGAGCAGTGATCTGGCAGTGCTCAGGGAACAGCTGGAAGTGATAAAAAATTGCTGCAAGGCTAATAGAGCAATCAGCCAAGCAGCCCTTCAGCTGTTGCTCACTGTTACACTAACTCTATTTAGCAGAGTCCTGCATCACTCCAGGCCACTCTTCTCAGCACCTCACTGGAATTTTGGATCTGGACTATCGTCTGGTGTCTTAAGCACATGTAAATAGGGAGGATTGAATATGTAATGAAGATGTAGCTGGCTACACCTTTTTATGCATAGCTGGATGATACCTACGCCGTGACAGATGTGCTCAGCTAGCTGCTACTTTCCAGTAAGTGTCTGTATGCTCTCTTGTTATATTTCTTGCACACATGCATCTGGGCATGAAAAGAATGGTAAGCCTCCCTTCTGTTTCCTGTACTGTTTTCTGTATCCGATATTTTTCCAGCAGTGCAAGCTGGTGTAGTACGAGGTCTAAAGCAGGCACACAACATGGGAAAACTAGTGGCTGAGCAGAGGATTAATGTGGTGGGTTTGAATGGCTAAGGTCTTCACTCCCCTCTCTCTACAGGGCTTCACTAGGTTGTAAGCGTCAACACTCTGTATGGGAAATTCTCTTAATTGTATTATTTCATTAAATCGAACAGAAAGCAAAACCAGAATGCTAAAATTATGATGCAGTGGGATTTTTTTTAATGGATGATAGAGGATGAAAGATTACAAAAGTAAAACATGATCATACAGAAAATAAGGATTTTCAGACTTTTACAAGTGAGATTTCTTGATCGCGGAAGCTTCATTTCAAGCACAGTGTTCTTTTCTTCTTTTGTAGCTGTAAGTTTGACCACACAGTCCAGTTTTCATCCATTAACATAACTCTTGATTGATGTCAGGCAGTGTCAAGTGGGAGAAATCACAGTCTATGCACTTCTCTGTTATGTTTCTTGTATGTTCTTCGATTGAATGTAGAAGGAGTATTGATGCATTTGAAGATTTGGACCATGGGAAGAATAGAACACATTTAGAGCTAAGAAAGGAGAAGTACATAAGCAAGTCCAAGCACAAATAGAATGAAAAGTGTTAGCAAGAATCAGCCTTTTTATGTCAGTGTCTTAAAAACCCATCTTACTCTTGAGTTTGGATCTTTTTTTTAGTATCCTGACCGTCCTTGGTGGGAGTGTCATCCTGCTTGGTTTGGCAGGGCTTATACTTTTTAAAGTGATAACTACTGCACTTCTGAAAACAGTAAGGGTAGGAGAACTTGTTTTCTTGTGACCCATTATAAAGAAAAGAGCCTCTGTACCCACAAGGTCCCTCATAGCCACGTAAGCCCCTAAAAAGAACTGGTGCTGAGGATCCCACTACACTTTCCTGAGGGCAGGAGCTGAGAATTGGCCCAGGAAAAGTGACGACAACAGGGGGTGGGTAGACCACTGCTCTGGAGTCATCGCATGATTTGATGCAGGGCTCGTTTCAGGCACCGACACAGGGCTCGCAGCATATGGGCCACGGCTGGCGGCACAGCTGATTGTAGGAGGACATTGTGCTGTAATGGAAGTGGATCTGAAACACAGAAAGACAGAAGACTATGCATAAAGCAATTCAATGGTAGTTAAGTGATTGATGTTCAGGCACTCAGGCATATTTGATGAGGAAGCTACCCCCTTGAGTAGCTTCCTGAACAGAGATGATGTGGATTCATAGTTCCTGGCTCTCTCTGCCCCCTTTTAGTCACACTGAGTTACCTTTATCTTCTGTCCTTGCCAAACTCTCAATGTTTCCTACCCTTCTGATGGACATCAAACAACCTATATTTTTGACATGTCTACGCATAGTGTACCAGAACATATCCCAAAGGGCTGCATCGTAAGCAGTGCTTGCTTCAGTTGTGTTTTAATGTCAAGCAGCACAAACACTTCTGAACTTCATGAGACCAATGGCCACCTCATCCAGCCCCCTTTTTTCAGTAGTTAAGCTGTAGGAGAGGATTTATATAGATCACTTCATCCTAGGACAGGATTTATGGGCACACCTGAAGTGGTTGATCCACTGGTTATATCTACCCAATTCCAGCAGTCAGTATTTTAGGACCACCAACTCCTAAACCTTTGATAAAATTATTTGTTGTACAGCAAGGAAAGTAGATGTTCATAGAAGAGTTCAACACAGGAATACTCAAAGGCATAACCTAGATTTTGTTAGAATTAGACCATTTTATCAAGCTAGTGAGGTGATGAGGTAATTCCAAATTAAAAATAATAAGCATTACAGCAATCAAAATTTAGGACCCTCTGTTACACAGGGCTTCAAGACTGAGCTTTACCTTCTACTAAAGCCAAGGTGAGGTTGCAGCTCGTTTCTATACTAGCTTTAGGAAGTAAAAGTCACAAATCCTTGAAGCGCTTAGGAAGGACTGCAGCAGTCCCTCAAGAAGCTGGATAATTCCAGCCCCAAGCTCTCTGTAGTATCAGTGAGTTGCTTTTACAGAGAGACTGGCCCTGTTAGTGCAACAGCAGACATTTACGTAGGATTCAGAGTTATCACTAAAAAAGCGTATTAAAAACTTACTTGAGTCCCAGAGGAGAAGTCGGGAGAAGCTGTTTGGGAGAGACATGAGCAGCGTGTGCTTTTATACTGCTGCTTGGATAGCCTGGAGGATCTGAGACACCCTTCGCACATGATGTTTGATTAGATCCGAAACAGAAGCGGTTACACGTAATGGCTCACAGCATATCATCAGTTTGCTCACTGTTTGCAGTTATTGGGCAATTCCCAGCTTTCCTTTACACTGTACTACGTCATCCCTCCTTAAGTGTTTTGATTGCATTCAGATTCATCAGACTTCACCCACTCTGAAACAGTTCCTGAGTTTTGCCCTTCTGCAGTAATGAGAATTAGTTCAGTTAAGTTAAAACCATCTCATTGACAATTGTATTATTTTATATGTTTTATATTTTAAAAGCCACTTGGAGATAGGGAGTGAAGTAGTTCAGTTAAAACCGTCCTGTTGACAATTGTATTGTATTTTATATATTTTATATTTTAAAAACCACTTGGAGATGGGGAGTCGACTGTCATTATTAGCCTTGAAGGTCCAGGGTGCAAGTGTACGTATTTTGCCTGCTTCGTGTCCCCACTCCAGCTGCTCAGTCAGGGTCTGATGTGCTGGCACTGACAAGCCAGCAAATCTGTGCAATTTGCTGTAAGGCAGAAAATGAGCATTTGGTTAATACATAGGAGAAAAACTGGTGACTTTAAATCGCACTCCAGACCTGTATGCGCTTCTTGTACAGATCTTGTCACCCCAACAGCCAGAGCAAAGGGCTATTTATGGTCTGGAGACAGGACTTCTCTGCTAAGAGATGCTATTTATTCTCCTCAGGTTTTTTTTTTTCATCTTTGCTTTAGTTAGCTCTGTACGTACTCTGGGACAAACTTCTTTCCAAACTTAGGCGCAAGACCCTCATCTGCTCCAATTGAATGTGACCCCACTGAATTTAGCTAGTCTCAGTTTATATTGGGCTCTCTGTAATGATTTCAGCAATGTCTCCCTAAAACACTCCAACTCTGTAACTTTGCAGCTAGCTGTCTCTCCAGTGCATGTCTTCGCTCCAAGATTCCATATTTTTCAGAACTGGGGAATATCTGTATTCTTGCCCACAGGCAGCCTGGTTTTCAGCAGCCAGTGGCACAGAGCACTTATCAGGAGGGAATTAAAATTTGTTCCAGATGTCTCAAATTGAGTGAGAAAATCAATGGTCATTCTAGAGGATGTCTTTAAGAAGGATCTCAGTGATCCTGAGAAGGTAATAAATGCTGTAGCCCTCAACTTTCCCTGTAACCCATACAGTACAGGAGATGCACACAGAGAGGGGAAGCTCCATCCTTTTTTATTATTCTCACTGCCCTCTAACAAGATTTTAAGTAGCGGTGACCCGATAGCCATCAGGACTCAACTCCTTGATCAACATGGCAATCAGTCCAATTCACTGGTTAAGGTTGGTTATCTGGGGGGATGCAAAGAATTCGGAGCACAGACTCTCAGCGAGTAATGAATTGCAGCAATAATTTCTACTAGACATTATTGTGGCACCACAGACCATGGAGCCAGGTGCCTAATACATCTTGGGTTAGAGAAGGATGTAGAAGTCAAACAATCACAAAAAAGAAGCTTGATTCATTCCCACCCAAACCCAATGAAGGGAGTGGGTTGATACCGGGAAGGACCTGGTCATTGAAGCTTTGAAAAGAAATGAACCATGAGATGCAGTGTCACATAACAATGTGATGAAGTTGGGAGCACCACAGTAATTAGGATAAGTCAGAAAATTTTTTGCATCATCGAGATCAGCTGAATATGCAATAAATCTCTGTTGGTAAAGCAGCCGGTCCTTATAAGTAAGGTTGTTTCATATACATAAGGAGTTTAAAAAAGTGGAAAATACTGTTCAACTGTCAGATCTTTTCTGGACACTCCTTTTGTTACATAATCCCAGCTAATTTAGCTAAGATTCAATTTATTCAATAGTTCCCCAAGTACTGAAGTGCAGATAGAAGAACATCTTTAAGTATTAACTGTATATTCTGCTAAAAGCTTGATTCTTATAAGAGTTTGACATGAATCTATCTCCAGGGAAGCCTTTTCAATTTGAAATAGCTGTGAAAATCTGTTTATAAGTTGCTAGGCATGGACTTCTATGACAGCAGAAGATTGCTTAGGGTACCCTGTTGCTCTTAGTTTCACATCGGCTAATCTTTATGCATAATCTTTGAATAGTTTCATAATTCCTAACTCTGGAAACATTTTGCTATAGGTGGCCTTAGTTTTGCATGTTCAGCTTTGGTAGAAGTTAGTGAATATTCTCCGTAGACTTTACCAGCTGACCGACAGCTCACCCCACCCCTGAATTCTTTACATGTGTAGAGAAGGAAGGGGTTCCATATGGAAATTTTGAAGTGCAACATTACCAGATGTTTTGTTTTACTTTTTACTTAAAATCTGTGCCCTGGTCAGAAGAAGCAGAGGCAATTCAGGGGTGTTAGGTGGGCACAGGTGGTTTGTAACCATTTAGGGTCTGTCTGGGGAAAAATAAAATGTCAGAGGCAAGATGTGTGACCGTGGTGGTGCAGCCCCCCCCTCACACCTGGCAATCCCAGAACCAGCCAACATTGTATTCTTGCTTGCACTGCAAGAATAGTTAACTGGTGTGCAGTGAATCGGGACGACTTGGCACTTTCCTTGTCTTCGTACAAGAACAGTGAGTTGGGCTGATCAGGCGCTCCCTGACCTGTGGCCAGCAGGTTGAGGGAGGTTCTCCTTCCCCTCTGCTCTGCCCTAGTGAGGCCCCATCTGCAGTGCTGTGTCCAGTGCTGGGCTCCCCAGTTCAGGAAAGATGAGGAGCTACTGGAGAGAGTCCAGCACAGGGCTACGAGGATGAGGAGGGGACTGGAGCATCTCTCCTATGAGGAGAGGCTGAGGGAGCTGGGCTTGTTCAGCCTGGAGAAGAGAAGGCTGAGAAGGGACCTTCGAAATGCCAATAAATATCTGCAGGGTGGGGGTCAGGAGGACGGGGCCAGACTCTTTCCAGTGGTGCCCAGCGACAGGACAAGGGGCAATGGGCACAAACTGAAGCAGAGGAAGCTCCAGCTGAACCCGAGGAAGAACTTCTTCCCTCTGAGGGTGACGGAGCCCTGGCCCAGGCTGCCCAGAAGAGCAGTGAGTTGGGTCGATCAGGCGTTCCCTGACCGCACCTGAAACTCCTGGTGCCTGGAGTCACACCTGCCTGGTAAATGCCAGAAATGTACATTCTGGGTGGTACTGGAATTGTATAGTTTCTGTCTAACTATCAGGATTGAATCCTGTGGATTGTGATCAGGATGGAAAATTACTGGTGCCTGAAGTCAATCATCTGGAGACCCTACAAACAGCGGTACCAAGGAAGCCCTTTGAGCAATTCTGGTCCGCAGTGGGCTGCAGCCAGTAACTCCCTCTGAGTGGGACACTTCTCAGAGTAACTTGAACTCTGTCAGCATTACCTGGGCTGATCTCCCTGAGACTCAACCTTTGCCCGTTGAGAAATCATTTGATTTGAAGTGAGTATTTCACTGAACTCGAAGGGAATTTTTATGATTGTATTCAGAACATAAGATCCTATTACTGTGATTGTAATAGTAAATTCTTTCTAATCACTCAGTAAATGCTAAGTGAACTAGTGATTAATAGCTGCTAAATCTCTGTGATTCTCTCTCTCTTTAAACTGTGAACACACCCTGAATTGCTGCTAAACAGATTCCTTAGACATAAATCGTTGTGGGCAAAGGCTGGTTCCGGATCCAGCCACATCTAGGCACCTGTCTGAGAAGGAGTTTAGAAAAGAAAGGGAGTCCAGTCCGAACCCGGTGACTCAACAGGAGGGTCTCCCTACCCTCTTACACTTTTCATCCACTCTATATGATTCATTTTCTAC